GTATATAAACAAACATTAATAAAAAAATTAAAAAATACATTAATACTGTATATATTTAAGCAAATTTAAATTAAAATAAAAATTTTACGTATTAATACTATATATTTTTTATACTAAACGGTTTTACCTAGAAGACAAAAGTAGGTATATATTTAGCAAAATATGGAATATTTTTTCAAAAATAAAGTAAAAAACAAATTAAAAATATATTTACTAAAACTATATATTTTTCTCCAAGTTAAAATGCTTTACGTAGAAGGTAGTATAAAATTTTATCCGTACATACGTACGTACAGTACGTACGTACGTATAACAGACGCAAAGCTTTTTTTTGTAAATATTATATAAGCTATGTATTGTTAAAATAAAAAACTTCTACATCGCTACATACGTATGTACGTATTCTTAAAATCATTTTACAAATTTGACTATCTCAACCTAAATACGATATATGTGCATACATGTCGCGAGATACGATTTATAAATTTATTTTTATTAAATTATCGCAACTAGCATTACAATCAACCGCAATTTGTACGATCTTATTTATATCCATTTATTTCTACAAAAAGTTAAGAACAATAGGTAAATACATACAAACGTACGTACGCACCGGTACCTACAATAAAATCAAGATAGGTTGTTATAATAACAAAAAGATTAGATTTACAAGTATATTCATTGCCGGAGCAAAGCGGAAGATGATCATAGTGAATTACTGAATTATGCATTTACAAAAATGTTAAAGGGACGACAGGTCACATAAATGCTACGTACAATCTGTACAAATTTGAAACAAGAGGCTGCCTCGTTCTCTTAGTGTCAATTATTTCTGATACTTTTAATAGTTAAATATAACCATAAAGATTATAAAATAAAAGGATATAGTAAATGATTTAAACGATATTTGGCTATTACACGTAAAAAATTGGATGTAACTTGTTTACAGTTATGAATTAGATTTATTATTATTTTTTGTATTACGTAAGTACACATTCAAAATTCATAATATTGTGACCATAAAACACCTCATTTAAAAAAAAAGTATTTACTTTTACGTCAGATAAGTTTGCTGACATGTGTTATAAACCTTTTCGAATAATAAATATTAAATCAACACTTTTATACTCAAGTCAAATGGTACCTAAATAGTCTTTATCAAAAAGAGATGTAAAACCGATTTACCAATAACAATAATATAACAATAATATAACAATAATATATTAATAATGTATGTATATGCACGCTGATTAACAAGTGACAAAAAGGTTATTCTAGTTCTGATGATAAAAGAACCAAGAATAGATATCGGTAGTGTGATTCGCGATGGTTTATAAGATCATTTCAATCATTTCAATCATTTCATCTTTGGAGAATCTTTTTTTTAAATAAATTTTTTTATGTCATTTGAAAGTCAAAAGTGGATACCGCATAAAATGTAACCTTAAAGAGGTTCTTAAATGAGTTTTAATGTTTTCTTTAATATATATAGTAATATGTGAACGGCGCTTGCCGACCTCATTTTTGATCGATATTCAAACGCCGATTTTTTCTAATTGTGGTGTTCAGTTTTGGAATTTTGGCGTGGCGGGGAAACCTTCTGATACATACGACGTACGTACGCACGACCGTAATTAAGGTTAATAGTTATTCAATTATCGTGGTGCACATGTCAAATTTATAGGCATTGAATAAAGAAACGCGTAATTAAATCAAAAGTCGCGTAAAATTAACATTAAATTAACATCAAAATTAACATTAAATTAACATCAAATTAACATTAAATTAATATCAAATTAATATTACAGTTACAGCAAACTACAAAACCGTTAGAATTTTTATTCCTTGAACAAAATCAAAAGATGTACGATACAAATTTTAGAAGAAAAATTTTAAACATCGACAAAGCCGAAAATAAAGAATGTTTGTAGTGCTTTTATATATAGAATTTTATGAACACGAATGTTTAAAGAAAAGAAAGAAAAAGATAGCTATAACATTCAAAGAAAGATTGCAATATAATAAATAAACTAATGAGATGAAAATAAAACGTGAACAAAAAAATATGTATATTTAAAGAATGAAAGAATGTGAGGCTTTGATAATAACAAGGAGAGAAAACGAAACAGAGAAGGACAAAATTGTAGGACAAAATTGTTCAGAACAAAAGAATAAAAATTCAAAGAAATCCAGTATTGTAGGAAGGTTCAGTTCAAGCAAAGAAAACTAAATACAAAAAAGAAAAGGAAGTCTAAAGTGTCCTTTTTTTTTAAGAAAAAAAATTTAATATAAAAGAATAATACCCTCCGTGGCGACTAACGACGCCATGCCAAATGTTCCAATTGTTTATGTAATAATTATTAGGTCTATTCTATATACTATTCCGTCGTATCCATGTCCTTTTGGGAATTGGTAGTGATTTTGAGCTCTTTTTCTTTGATATTGGACTAGATTTAGAACTTGAGCTTTTAAGGACTGCAGAAGTAACATCTTTACTCGTTATATTCCGTGTTTTTATTTTACGTGTTTTCATTATCCAAAACGAACCACTACCACCAAAAGGTCCATTACGTTTTGGTCGACGTAGTACGACACTTATTACTCGTCTTACATTTTCTGTTACTTCTGTTACATCGACAATTGGAGGTGGCGGCGTCCATTTAAATTTTGAAGGAAATGATCCGGGTATATTTAAATTAACTTCATCTGAAATTTCTTCTGGTTCCTGAAAAAGTGTACTATTTGTTATTTTTTCAAATAAAGGTTCTGTTGTTTCTTGCATATCATTTAATTGGTCTGTAATAGTGGACACGTCAGTTTCAATCAATTCATTTATTATTTCCTTTTTTGCACTGTCCTCAATTATCATACTGTTTACGTGTCCGGCACGCCTAAATCGTTCATTGGTTATCCTACGTCTTAGAACAAGTGCTGGATTTTCAATTTCATCCTCCTCTGTTCCGCTCTCCTCGCCATCGCTACTATCAAAGTCTACAATCTCCCATTCTTCACTATCATCACTACATTCATCTTCAAACCGTCCCACCGTCGTCCTATTAAATACTTCCCATCCATCCCATCGACCACTAGTCAACAAACGTCTACCTTTTCGCTTCAAATTCTTCATTCCATCCTTCAACCACCTCTTTCCACTACCCACAACTCCCGTCTCTACACCTTTCCACGTAACGGACTTTATCTTAGGGCCCGTTCGAAATTTGACGTTTTTTTTTTTACCGTCATTCAAAACCCCGAACCCTCCATCTTGTTGATCACCGGCTACTTGATCACAATTATTTGAAATAAATCCAAATGGTTCTGGTTTTAATAAATCAACCATTCTAATTACTTGTCTTCCTGCAACTTCACATAACCATGCGTCTAATACCAATGATCCAAGTGTGAATAAAAATGTCCAGTACATCAGGTTCATAAAGGTCCTGGTAGTACTTGTCATACTTCTTGGTGAATTAGTCTTAAGAGATTCGGACATAAAAGAGTGTGTAGCATGTAAGAATGGAAGAATGAGCGCACGTGTAAGAAGGCGACATTGTTGAGAGAAATCATCAAGATTTGCAAGGTCTTCACTTGGATGTTGTATGAGTTGGTCAGTTGGATCCACATATTGTATGCAAGGGTCATATTCTTGCATATTATCTTCTGTTGTTATTGCATCAACAAGTGTGGAAAAATCTGCAATACTCCTATTAAATTCCAACATTCCTTGTTCAAATCTTTCTTCATGTACACTCTTTTGTCGCTTATGTGACTTTTCTCTTTTATCACCTCTGCCTCGAGGCTCTTCATTTTCTTCATCAAAAGATTCATTTTGTTCTTCCTCATCATCATCTGAATCTTCAAACTCGTATTCATCATCTTCTTCTTCGAATTCTTCAAGCATGTCATTAATCTCCCCAAAGTCAAACGATTGTTGACTTGTAGTTGAGAGTCTAGGTTTCTTCTTCTCACGTCCTTTAACTGGTTTTTCCACTGCTTCCGTGGCTTCATGTATTAATGAATTTAATAAATCACGCATCTTATTAAATGAGGGATCG